GAAGATGAAGACACCATTCTCCGTGTCCACTTCTTCAATTCCGCGGTCCTTCCTGCTTTGACTTATGCCTCAGAGACTTGGACTCTACGAAAGCAGGATGAGCATGCGGTTGGCGTTATTCAACGCGCCATCGAAAGGGCGATGCTCGGAGTTTCCCGCCACACGCAAGTGAGTGTACCGAGCACGTCGTGGGTTTCGAAGACGACCACGGGACCAGAGTGATTACCTACGGAATTCCACGGAATGCCAAGCGAACACCTGGACGACCACCAACGCGATGGTTATACATACTTTCTCGTAAAAACACTGAACGAATGGTATGGAATTCACCGTCTCCCTAACGCACAGAGAAAACATAAGTAAGTCTAGCACGTTGCAAGGACGAATGGAGTCATTACTGGTGCCCGCTCGAGCAACTCGATGATCAACTGGAGCGCAGGTGAGGTGGCACCGGACTGGTCCGGAGGGGCACACCCGCAAACCAATTTTCACTGCATTATTGTTCGAGCGCCATCACCATTTCGATGGAAGTACGAAAAATTATGATAGCATCCGCAAGGAATTGTTCAGCACTGAGTGCGGGGTCAAGCATACGTCGCGGAGTCTGCGACGGACGGGGAGAGTCGCATTCGGCTCCGGAGGAATCGTGTTTGCAGAGGCCAGTACTTAATATAGCAGGTAAGTAGCAGTGATGTGTTTGGAAAGGATCAGCGTCACAGTTTTCATTTACTACATAAGCAGGAGATGTACGGAAGGCATAGTGAGCTTTTTAGATAAGGACAGTTTTTTCGCTATCGTTGAGCAACAACGAGGATGTTGTTCAGAAGGAAAAAAAACTTCGACGTTCGCAACGCCATGTAGATTTCTGCTCTACCTTACGTCTGAACGATGTTATTTCCATTGAAAGGTGAAGGACGCGCATTCACTCAAAACACTCCGCGTTGTTTTCTGGTCAGAAGTCGTCATGCAACCCTTATGAGAACTGTTCTGTACTTTGTATGAAGTTATATGAAGTTATGCCCTTTCAAAACTTTGCGAAGGAAGTAAGCCGGTAGCGCTCTAATCTCAGTATGCACTCAGCCGCAGTACGCTCAGTGCCTCCGTCGTGTTGTTTTGTTTATAGGTAGCTGAAAGTTTAATCAATAGATGCTCACCAATACTCTTGTCCTTATTGGACTGCACCGTATCTCCCATCACTAACAGTGCACTTAGTGGGGGGGGGGATCTGTGCAAGTTTTTCCAACTTTTCCGAAAAGGTGCTGCTTGACAATATCCGCAGTGGCAGCGGTTTGCACTACCTTCGAGAGCACACTGGCAGGACTCACCCCTATGGTTCGAAGCCAAATGCAATTTCTTAGAGTCTGTTTTCAGGTGCGTGATTTTCCTTTCGACAGCCAGGACTGCTCTATTAAGTTGATGACACATTCGTATACGAGTGTAGAATACGGTATAGATATAATGATCCCACCCAGTATCGAAAGCGCCTCTCCTATGGAGCTGATGGTGAGTTGCTTTTGTCTTTTTCTGAGACATTATATGCGGACCGGAGACATTTTCTCTCTCTGGGTAAACTTAGTTCCAAGCGGCTCCCGTCTGAGCATATGCAAAGCTGGCCCCGCGGACACCCCATGGTCCTGAATGGAAATTAGCTGCGTGACGCATCTTCAGATGAGTTCACCAGCTTGCATCTTTTACTGCCTTATTCGTTATCCAGTCGATCGCCCGCTGTCGCCGGCGCCTCCTTCCTTCTGCTGGACATGGCCGGATTCGCCGGGCCATGCGGATTTAAACATGGCCCGGCTTCGCCGGCCATGCGGATTTGCCGCGTGCTAAGTTAAGGATCGTTGACCAACCACACTGTTCAAAGGAATCTTCTGCATCAGCCAAGAACTGAAAAGCAGCGCTTGTTCCGTCAAGGCGCAGAAGCAGCAGCAGCGCCCCCCCCCCCGCATCACAGAAGGAGGAAAGCCGGCCTTAGCCAGCGATCCGACTGGTACGTTCATAACCTACACGGAAATAGTGCAGCCTGTTTTGGACAGCCACTGAAGCAGCCTATAATTTATGCAATCTGTCTTCCAAAACGTCTTGCTTTGGAATGCACTACCGCATTTCAGGCATGGAGCCTTAAATGGCCCTCACTGAAGTTGCTGATGAAGATAATTGTGGTAAGAGTGATAAAGTCAGTTGCTGCTGTTCATAACATCTCTGTAAACAAACCACATGCATTTGGAATAGAGCTGGCTTAGCGGTCGTACACGATGTCGTTACTAATAAGCAGTGAGGAATGAGTTCTGTTGGAATCACTGAGATCGTTATACTTGAGTCATATCGATCGCATTGTTGTTGTGAGCGGTGAAGCGGATTTTCCCATGCTACCTTGTCAATTTTAGCTCCTATCACTTCCGTACCCGCCAATAACACTCCCGTCCCGTATCACTATCATATCACCCTGTATCGCCTCTCGGATCAGAGGTCCCACTGTTGCTGTAACCTGCGTTACGAATCTGATGACCCTCCCCTTCCGAGGCCGCTTACCGTATCTTATCAACTGTTATCACTTTCTGTCGCCCGCCAATAATGTTCCCGTCCCACACCCTATATCACCTCACGGATCTGAGTTCCCACTGTTGCTGTAACCTGCGCCACGAAATTTGATGACCCTCCTCTTCCGAGGCCCCTTATCGGATCTTATCAACTGTTATCAGCTTCTGCCAGCCCCACCCTACGGCATATCAGTACTTGAAATCATGGTCCCGCCGTTGCTGCAACTTGCCACGAATTCGGTCACCCTCCCCTTTTAGGCCCCTTATCGAATCTTATCAAGTGTTATCACCTCCTGTCACCCACAAAAGTGTTCCCGTCCTGCCATGTATATCACTTCTTGGAACTGTCATCCTATCTTTTCTGCGACGCTCGCTATGAATTTCGTGACACACACACACACACACACACACACAGCATAGCGATTATAATTTTTTTTTTTTTTTAGTAGGATTCATGGGCGAGATTGAAGGATTAGGAAGTTACCACAGTACATATATAAAAGATCGTGAAGACTTATTGTTGACTGTATAGTTGATTGTGAGCAGAGTTCTGCGCCAATGTGGGAGAAGGGGAGGGGAGGGGTCGACAGTTATAGAGGGGGAGCAATCTCGCTAATTGGATGTGGCAGTGAGGCTAGAGCCTTGTGATACCTTGATATTCTTTTTGTCCCCACAGCCCTTCGGAATGCGATTGATTGAGTTCCAGCTAACTGAGTTCCAGCTGCAGAAAGCAGCGACACCCTAGCCATGGATGATGCAGTCAAAACGCACTGTTATAGTTAGTAACATTTGGGGATTCGTCGGACGCGAGCCAACCGGTGAAGCCCGCATGCGTGCTGCTCGCCCTACAATAGAGATCGGGAGATGATCGATTCAGGAGCAAAAGACTAGTTGTGCAACCCCCCCCCACCCCCCCCCCCCCCCTAAGTCGCAGGTCGTGCACCGCAAAATTACCGTTGATATCATGGCAAGAATATTGCTGCTTGTGATAAATGTCAAGAATTTCTAACCCAACAAACAATTTTGATTGCTGCTCAGCTACTATAAAATTGGAAAGCTGTTAATATTTCTCATATTTGTGCTTTGAAAAAGGTATATTAATGATACACTATTTTTAAATAAGGTTGCTCGGTTGCTTTGACGTAAAGAGAAAGGGCGCGCGGCGTCTCCAAATGTTTTTCTTTTAAAACTTCCTGTTCTCCCGGATGTTCCTAAAACTCAATAGCTCCAGTCCATCAGTACTTTCTCTATCCGAATATTCCTTTCGATTTGTCTTAATGTGTTATACCTGGCATAAACAAGCGTAAACCTTGATGAGAGTTAGAAGGCAGCGAGCCAGCAGTTAAGTGGGTCACAGTGCAAGCCGACTCTGCCATTATGAGAGGAGAGGTGCAAAAAAAGGGCACTGCACAAACGTCACATACCCACCGACCGATGATATCAACTGTATGGCTGGCGCTATGGCGTGTTGCGTGTCTGTCGACTCCTTCCCCTATTTTTTCGAATGGGCTATTACGTGTGAAAACCAGGCCACCACATCATATACCTCCATCATCCTGGGCTTTCTGAATGATGGAAGTGCTACAGTTCTACGACTACATACAGGCCCGTTCCATTCTTGATGAGGAGTACCTCCAAGTCTTATAGTTCACGTGAATTCGCACTTATTCAGGGTAATGGAGAATGGCAAGTCAAACGTGTGGCCGTGGGAGCAGAACGAGTGGAGTTTGATGATGGAGCATTTATTGAAATAGTAAGGAACAGCTTAAGTATAGCTTTTTTGACTCTCAGAAAGTATCAAATAGGCTTAGTGACCAGTGTAAAGCAGCATTAGAAGAGTCAGTCCACATTTTCAGGGTAGCTTCGACTTCCACTTGGAAAGGAACCCATCCTTCTATATAGCGATCGTCATTATGCCGTCTTTCGCTATCAATGTTTTGTGTATATTCGGGCTGTTTCTCAGCGGTGGGAATAAAATGTCAAAGGTTAGTGCTGAAAGACTGGTAATCCAGCTTTTATAAGCTATCACATAATGAGACAACCGAGTGGAGAGAGGGTCCCAAAAAATCATTGTGTAGGGGTTGAAAAAAGAAAAGCATGATGAGTTTTCATGAAAGGTGCACCTCTTGACATATACCTTGGAAATTTGAGGAAGGAAATGCGTCACTCTAAAGTACAAGGTGCATTTTAGCGAACAATCACCTACATACCTACCTACATTTTGAAATAAATTGAAGTCGTTCGCTAGTGCAAGTCGTATATGCCAGTGTCTAAACGAAAATTTTGAGGTGCCAGTTGAGTTACCAGTAGAAAAGGGAAAGCCATCTGAAAGGCCTTGAGCAGCCCCTGAATAGTTTCCACTATAGAAGGGAAATGCGAGGAATAGAGGACACGAGAAAACACGCAAGCGCGGACTAGAATGTCATCAGACCACGTCGTTCGTTGGGGAATCCCTAGCGCGGAGGGGGCTGTATTCGGTGGCTGGGGAGAGGGGTAGAACGTGTTTGGTCTGGAAATTTTTTTGATAGTTGATTTTTCTTGTTCCATGGATGCTATAAAGGGAGGAGGTCGTATTTGTTCGTTGTTGGGTAAAATCCTCCGACAACAAAATCTTGGGGAAAAACCAGAACATTTTCACGAAAGTGGTAGGTAGGATGGGGAAGAAGGGATCGTATCAGAGGCGGGAATAGGGGAGTTGTACTCCCCGAAAATCTTCCCGAGCGACAGGACACGCCCTGAATGTCACACAACCGCATGCACGAGGTAGTGCTTGCCACACATTTGGAGAGAAAGATTTGGCGCACCCTAAACGTAGGTCGCCCGTAGAAGGGCTGCCACCTGCTCTCGAGTCCGTGGTTAGTTTAGCCCGCAGAGGCAAACCTACCCAGTGACACCGCGTAATAAGGTTGTCTTGAATAAAAGAAAATCAATTGAAACGGTCCGAAATGCCATTTCAAAACTTGTTCCACGTTATATTTCCGCTTCGCTTCTGAATATACATCTCGCAAGCAATTCTGTACACCACGTAACCGACAAGACGTCACATGGTGCCCTGGTTTTAGAAATGTTTCGCAGCTTATGGACTACCTAGGAGGCTAATTTGTAGAACAATGATCACCCTTTAGCATTTCACGTCTTGTTGTACTTTGCTTGATCCACATATAGTCGTTTTTGCTGCTAATGGTAGG